GATGGATATCCAGTTTTGCCAGCACCATTTGTTAAAAAGACTGTCTTTTCCCCATTTGATGGACTTTGGGCCCTTGTCGAAGATCAGGTGACCGTACGTGGATGGATTTACATCTGGGTTCTCAATTTGCATTCTTCCTTTGTTTTTATCCATTTCTTCTGATCCTTTTTTTAAATCCCCTCTGGTTCTTCTTTACAGCATAAAATTATAGAATTTCAAGGCTGGAGGGTTAAGGGGTAAGGAAACTATGTATTGAGATCCTTGAGGAAGACACATTTTGTATGTATAAGAATTATTTGAAAGCGTAGATACTTTTTGGAATTGTGCTTAGAACACCACACTACTGACTAAAATACTGTAAACGGGATGTTAGATGAAGGGAAATAGTTTTAAATTTGGACTGCAGTGTGATCATTTCCATTCTGAATGTAAAGTACTGAATATTAATAAGACACAAAATGAAGGTTTTCACAGTGATAATGCATCAGATTCTAGTTGGGAGAAAACATGAAAAAAAATGGGAGAGCTGTGTTATTGCATTTTTATACTAGCACTCTTTCTGCAAAGCAATTAAATTGCCTTGCCACCTCAGTTATTAGAAAGCAAAAGGTTAGAAAATACAATAAAACTGCACATTATTTCCAAAAAGAACTGAAAGTTATTGGACTGTGAGATATTTGAAATCATATCAAAAAGCAGAATTTATGGTGCTATGAGTTATGGAAAAGGAAATTGAATTGTGTGTTTTATTTTTAAAACACAACCACTAAAAAGGTGTTTCCATAGTAACAAGGTCAATACCAGTAGCCATTACAGACCTTCCTCTTTTCTGATAGTGGGTTTAAAGATCGTTTTCAAATACCACTTTAAAAGCTCTATGAAAAAGTACAGCTTTTCTGATCATTCATCTGAACCAAAATGAGGAAAAACACACATGGAGTATTGAATTTCTCATGTTTTATGGATTATAAGCATTCATGGCTGTCATATTTTCAGAAAGAAGCTGCCTGACTAGCTACTATGCCAACCCAGGATCACGGGATTTGATTAGCGTGATTGTTAATCTGAATAAACAGAGTTGTTTGCAGTAGCATTCAAACAGAAATAAAAGATGGCACAGTATTTAAAAAAAAAAAAAAAGCCCTTCTTTTAACATCTAAATATTGAAAGGGTTATGTAAATAATCCCTGTTATTAGAAAAATTTCAAAGAGTCAGAGGAAATACATTACCACAAGAGGAAGTTCAAACAGATATAGGCCACATTATATTTGCAACAGAAATAAAGGTTTCTTTGGCCATAAAAGCAACTCATTTAACCCCACCAGGAAGTGACCGCCCCTTCCTCTTTCCTTTCAAGATATACTGCCTTCTATGATAACCATTTGTATAGCCTTCTCTTTTCCACTAAACTATAAGCCCTTTGAGAGCAGAGATATTTTATTTCTCTTGTATCCATGATAGTATCTATCATAGTATTGTATACATAACAGACACTGAGAAAAAATGAGTGGAGAATAAACCATGAAAAATAATCACACAACAGTAACAAAATATCTCCTTGTCTAATATTAAAAACATCTCCTTGTCTAATATTAGAAACAATGAGAAATTTAAAAATGTGTACTTATGATTTTAATCTCTTTAAGCCAAAAGGTGCTTGATCCTTGTTGCACACTAGGGTCACAGTTGTTAAATAAATCCAGTTGCCTGGCCCCTAGACCAATGCTAGCAGAATCTCTGCAGGTGGGGCCTCTGGCATCAGTATTTTTTTTAAAAGCTACCGAGGTGATTCTAATGCAGTCAGTGTTGAAAACCATTGCTTTCAGTGCTTTTAACTCATGACTAATTTATTTACCTTACTCTTTCAGGTATGTGTTTATTTTTTTTCTCAATATAGCCTCATTGTACTATATTTACAAATTTATAAGACCTTTTATCAAAACTAATGAATTGCTCCCTCGAATCACTTTTCATTAAGAAAAAGCTTCAATGAAAACAGTTTGGTCTTAAACAATTAAAATTATAACCAAGTATTATTATTTATTGCATTCTTTTCAAAATACCTATTAGCTTTTTGGAGCCCTGGTGGTGCAGTGGTTAAAGCTTGGCTGATAACCAAAGGATTGGTAGTTCAAATCCACCAGTAACTCCTTGGAAACCCTATGGGGCAGTTCTATTCTATCCTATAGGGTTGCTATGAGTTGGAATCGACTCAACAGCAACAGGTTTGAATTTTTGGTATTACCTTTTTGCTGCTGTGAATTCACCTTTTGAAAACCAGAGCTGTACAGTACCAATAAAATAGACACTAAATAAATATCAGTAGAATTGAGTACATGCTTCTGTACTTTTATTCCGAAATTTCATGGGCCTGTAATGCCTTTTACTTCCCTATCTATCTGGAAAAATTCTTATTCATCTTTTAAAACACCCAGATCATATTTGTCTTCCTCCAGGAAGCCCTCCCTGATGTGGACAGACTATTAAGCACGGACTTCTTTGGTGCTGCCTCTGTCCCTTGTTCATACTTCTACTTTGCCTTTTTTTTTTTTTTTTAAATTAAGTCCCTTCTATATACTTGATTGTGAACAACTTGCAGCTTTGGGAAAGTCAGTACCAACCTGACTACCCCCCACCCCCAACCCGGCACAGCACAACAGCGGCAGACAATTGGCACTCAATAAAGTGTTTGCTAAATGAAAGGATACATGTCCACATTGAAATTGAAATGAACCAGGTACAATACAAAAATTCTATGAACCAGGATTAAGTTACTTGAAGATACAATTAATATAAACATTATAGATATTTAACTTTTCTCTTTTATTTAAATCCTTTAAAAATAGGTTTTTTTTATTTTACAAAAAGGCAATTTTAAATACAGTTAGACTAGATATTACAAATTTACTTCCAAATGACCTTGACATAAATTTTTTTGCTATTTTCCTGGTAAACTAAAAAGCCTAAAGTAAGCATATACAGTAAAAAATGAAGTAATTTTACAAAAGAACAATTAATCCATAAGAAAAAATAGGTTACTTTGGGGACTTCATTATGAAAACAGCTATGTGCCAGGGTTTTTTTTCTCCCGAAGAGAGAGTCTTCATTCAAGACCACGCATGTCCCTTGCACTGTGCTAGCCATTATGTCTTAAATTAATTTTACCTTGTCTTGTTTAGAATAGAGAAAAAATTTAAGGTGGCATGAAAACTCCTTCATGTATTATTTATTTATTCAACAAATATTTATTGTGCGTGCATTATGTGAATCCAATTCTGTATTTAAAGCCCATTTAAGCCAGTGTCATTCTAGCACTTTCTCAGGACTATCCAGTCTTTATCTGGTTAATCTATTCTATAACCAAGGCACACACTTCTGAATTTTATGAACAAGTGACATTTTTAAAATTTGGGGTGCCAATATCAAGTTGTTAACATTGTATTTGGCCAAATACCAGCATTAAAAACAAATACTGCTGTCAGCTATCACCATCAGTTTATAGATGAGAGGTTTTAACACAAAATAATTAAAGAATATAATCTTAGAAGAGTTCAAATGTACTCAAAATGCAGTCAAAGACAATACATTTAATTTAATGGAGAAAAATATCCACAATGTTCTTTAATTTTTTCATTTCAGCCTAGACTTGTGAAACTTTATTACGAACAAGCCCAACTCTGAGGTAGATACAGAAATTCTGGCTATCTACCACTTTTCCTCCTGAGTGTTACACTTTATACCTATTTCTCAATATTCAAAACCCCTCCTTTGTTCTAATTCTCAGGGCTGGTCATTAAAATAAGTAAAATTGGTTTTAATCCCATCAGCCATACAGGGTCCAACTAAAAATTCAAGTCTTCTTAGCTGTAATTATTTCATCTTATTTTGTCAAGTACTAAAGAAAAATGGGCTCAAGCATAACAACGATCATGAGAATCGCACAGGACTGGGTAGTATTTTGTTCTGTTGTACATAGGGTTGCTATGAGTTGGAACCGACTCGAAGGCACCTAACAACAACAACGAAACATGATGAATCTGATACAATAATTACTTTACATTCCTGCATTTATAATATGTTATATAAATATCTATGTGAAGACTATATGTCAAAGACCAATAAATGCAATAATAAAACTTACATGTGTGGACCCAATGAAACTACCCTTGCCATTACAATTCCAAGAATCAGAGTTGTTAAAACTGTAGAAATAAGGGATATCTGCAAAATAAATTTTAAAAAAGATATTGTCAGTTTAAAATGGAGATTATTTTATTTAAAATATTAGGCCCTTCCCTACTTACTTTATATAAATTTATTCAAAGACTTTACTACCTAATCCCTTAGTAGTTTATTCTTACGGATTTGTGTTGATAATCTCAGGCACGTAACTTCCTATCAAATCATAACCTTAGTTCTTCCTTTAACCCCCAAACAGGAAAGCAACTACTGTAATCTTGCAACTTGGATTTCTGTTTTTAGTGGCTTTCTGTTTAGAATACACAACTGGTGATTGTAATTTATGAAAGTGATTTTAGTTTATGAAAATAAAAATAAAAATGTTCTCTTCTTTCTTCAGGACCTATTTTGATTGTTGACTTGGGCTTTTTACATAACTGCTGCTTTTTCTGTCTTCAGGGTTGGTATGAGTCGGAATTGACTCGAGGACAGTGGGTTTGGTTTTCTGTCATTATCTTATCCCCTCTCTCCCAACACAACACACGCACACATTTTTTTTTTTTTTTTAGAGCCTGTGTTTCTCCTCTCTGTTCTCTAGCTCTCTGTCAGACTATTTTTTACATGGTTTTGCCCTTTGGTCTGTTTCTAGGTCTGCTTTGCCTCTTTCTCTTCTGTCACTATTTCCACTGGTTAAAATATAACTGGTCCCTGTGTGTACGTGCCCTCATTACTGGTTAGAGGTCGGTGTTTATGTTCTTTTCTTTTTTTTTTAAATGGATAAGCACATTTTTTCTCTGATCAGAAAAAATTTCATATAAAATTGCTTTTGTTTTACATGATTCTCATTAATGCTGTTTTTTGGGATGTTGGTCTTTAACTTGCCCAAAGCCACACAGCTAGAAACTGGTAGAACCAAAGAAAAAAAAAAAACACCAAACCTCTTGCCATCAAGTTGATTCCAACTCATAGTAGTGACCTTATAAGACAGAGCAGAACTGCCCCATAGGTTTTCCAAGGAGCAGCTGGTGGATTTGAACTGCCGACCTTTTGTTTAGCAGCTGAACTCTTAATCACTGCAGCCACTAGGGCTCCAGAAACTGGAAGAGGGGGGCTCAAATGCAAGCAGCCTAACTCCAGATCTTGGCTCCTAACTACTCTACTTTGCTCATTGGAAGATTTATTTAAATACTTCAGACTGACACATTTAATGAACATTTAAATGTTCAGGTATTAAAGATATGATAGAAAACCAATAACTTTTTTTCATAAATGCCTTGACATCTGCTCTCAGAAGATAACATTTATGTCTACATTCACTATGTGAAATGGAGAAGAGTTAAATCATTAGATAATTCATAGAAAAAAAGCCCCTTTTGCTATACACTCTTGTTTATTCCTGGAGGACTGCTAGAGATGGAGGGTGGAATGGTCAGAATACTCCAGAATATCGCCTCCACCGTCATGTCTACCTGGATGGAGAGACTTCATAACCGTGGATACACAACAACAAGCATCACAGTGAAAAGTAAAACTCAATCAACTGCTGGATTTTTCAAAATAGAATATAAACATATCATCTGTATAATTCTTTTTAAAAAATCCTCATCACAACGTTTGGCATTATGTAGATATAGCACCTATAATAAATATTTTGGGTAAAAATAAAAACATTCCTTGAGAGTAAAAGAAATAAAATATAATCAGATAAAGCTTAATCTATGTAAATAAACTTATGTGGTGAGTTGTATAATTATTTGGTTCGTTTCTTTAAAAAAATATCAGCATTTCTCTTTAACAAAAAGAATCATAAATATTGAACAAATTCTCAACAATCAAGCAATCAATACAATGACATTCAAATTATCTGGATAAAAAAGATACAACAGACATTGTAATTTACAAATAAAAATATTTTAAGTCTGTGAAGTGATTCATCTTTATATCTTAGAGTTAGTTTGGTTTTAAATCATTTTAACTACTATAAAGAGGGATAGAATTTTTTCCTAAGAAATTAGATTTGCTTTAAGTATAATTCTTTTTATTTTCTAAGTTTAAAATGTGCTGTCTGACATCAGTGAACCTACCTTAAAAAAGAAAAAGGAGGACATATTTAGTTGACGCTCATGAGTTAGTTAACCATCAGTTTAAAAAAAACTACCAGTCAACACAGTCTAGTCTAACATAATCATAAATCACCTGAAACTAAAGATAAATATTGTAAATTAAGACTTTGTCATATAGACAGTAGTTCAACAAAAATAATGCAGGTAACAAGGTACATTGCCGTGTCTATTTAAAATGTAAAAATTACCTTTCCAAGCTTTGCTATATCTCGGTACAACGATAACGGCAGGTTAAAGACAGCTGTGGAAAGCACAATAATGAAGTGGCGACCAATAAACAAGTTTTCCGGATCAACTAAAACACAATAAATATTATAAAACATTTATAGGTATAAGAAGCACTCCAATAACACTCCAAAAGAACTAAACAGTTAATTATAAAAAAGTGACTTAAATAACATTAAATACAACCTAAATGAAAACAGATTTTAAGACCAAATAAACTCCATAAAACCACATAAAAATAAAAATATATCATAAAAATGTAAATACTAAAAAACTTTAAGGATGAACCAATAACTCAAATAATGTTTTAATATTTTACATTCCAGTTATTTTAATAGCATCCTATTTCCCTGCTTCTGCTTTCCTTTGTCCTCTTATAAAATACTCGTAATCCAGAAACTACGAAGATAATTTTTAAAGGTAAAAAATATTAAGTCATTCTCTATCTAAAACACTCCAGTGGCAAAACCCTTCATGTAGCAGGTAAGCTACATGAAGACAGGACGTTTTCTGAATATTTTTCACTTCCGTATCCCAAAAACCTACGGCAGTAAACTTTAATGAAATTTCAAAAATCAAAGGCTTCGATTAAATATTTTTATCCTTTTTATTTTAATTTTATTTTTATTTTAACCTTTTGTCAAGAAAGAAGTGGTTTCCCTGAAGGAAAGTAGACAGAAGCAACTTTGTGGATGTAGGAAAGAAGTTACAGGGAAGCTACTGCAATCTGGTATATACTACAGATTCTTGGATATCATAGTGGGACTAGTCCTATACTTAAAATCTAATTTCTATAAATCTAGCTTTGGGAAATGATGCAGGACATCAAATGTGATTGCAATGGTGGAAATGGTTTGGGAGGTATAGATAAAATGAAAATGTATTTTATTTTTTTAAAACAGTTTTTTTGAGATATAATTCACATACCATACAATTTACACATTTAAAGTATTTCCCACATTTAGTATATTCACAGATATATGCAACTATCACCAGTCAATTTTAGAACATTTTCTAAAAAAGAAACCCTGAACCCTTTGTCTATCATCTATCGTTCTACCTTCCTCTCCCCTAATCCCTAAACAACCACTAATCTACTTTCTGTCTCTATAGATTTCCCTATTCTGAACATTTCATATGAATGGGAATCATATATTAGGTTGTCCTTTGTGACTGGCTTCTTTCACTTAGCATAATGTTTTCAAGGTTCATCCATGTTATACTATGTATCAGTACTTCTTTCTATTTTATGGTTGAATAATATTTCATTGTATGGATATACTACATTTTGTTTAGCCATTGGTTTGTTGATTGGCTTTGGGTTGAGTTTCCATCTTTTGGCAGTTGCGAATAATGCTGCTATGAACATTCAGGTACAAGTTTTTGTGTGGACATTTGTTTTCATTTCTCTTGGGTATAGGAAAAATATTTTTAATTAATCAACACAGATGTACTGAGTCCTTACTAACTACTAGATACTTCATATTTGTTACATTATTTTGTTTCTCAAAATAACCTCAACTCACAGTCATTTGATACCCATATTATTTTATACATGAGTTATTTTATTTAAGAGACAACTGAGGCTCAGAAAAGTAAGTAACTAATAAGCAATAGGATTTAGATTTAAACTCAAATTTTACTCTCATTGTCTTAATCAAATTGTTTCCCCAAAAGAAGTTTCTCTCTTTGGGGTTTTATGCCATTTTTTAGAATTATAAATTCCAAATTTTATGAATAATTTGTAACCATAGAAGACAATGTAGTTCATCCTCTAACCCCAGAAAGCCTACATTTATTTGACCATGATTGCTTGCCTAGTCTATGCTGGGCCTTCTGATCAGTAGGAAGGGTAGAAATTGAGAAGCAGGGAGATAGGCATAGACAGACAAAACAATAATCACCTCAGTGTCTCAGGGCCATATGCTCCATATGCCAACGGGAGGGTAGGGAGGCTTCCTGTAGAGGTGACATAGGGCCTGAGGCCTCAGAGCTGGTTTAGAGTTTTTAAGGTGCATGCAAGTTGGATGAGTTAAAGAGAAGTAGAGGAAAAAAATCTATGAAACAGTGTGGAGGCAGAACAGACACGATGGGCTTGAATCCCAGATCCACTGCTTACTGGATATGTGACATTGAGTAATTAAATAGAAGACTCTGAGACTTAGATTCTCAGTTGCAAAATGAGGACAATTTAGGAGCTTTGCAGGATGGCTGTTATATTATGCAATGTGTCTGGTACCTAGTAGATGTTCAATTAATGTTAACTATTATAATTATTATGGTTGAAATGCTGGGTGCTGGGAGATTAAGTGGCAGAAATAGGGCTAGAGAGGTTGGCTAGGGGCATATTGCAAAGGACTCCTTTTACCTTGCTAAGACATTTGGATTTATCTTGATAGTAGAGTAACATCTCTTCATAGAGGTTCATATTTGGAGATCGAAAATATTTCACTATATTATAAATTTTCTTATATTTAACCATAAAAATATGTATCTAGCTTACTATTTGATTCTCATCCAAACCAAAAAAACCAAACCCGTTGCCATCGAGTCGATTCCAACTCATAGCAACCCTACAGGGCAGAGTAGAACTGCCCCCCATAGGGGTTCCAAGGAGCACCTGGTAGATTCGAAGTGCCAACCTTTTGGGTAACAGGCGAACTCTTAACCACCACGCCACCAGGGTTTCCTTGATTCTCAGGGGGATTAAACTAACAGTTTATTTTTTTTCTTGTAAATATGTATTTTTTAAAGATATCTTAGCACGTAAATGAAGACTGCTTTTATCTTTTGAGTATCTACCAGTATAAGTAACTAGAAAACCATTCTACTTTCCTCATCAATTTCTATCTATAGAGTTACATATTAAAGATGTAGCAGTCACCACCAGGTGGGTGATCTAGGGCCACTTGCTCCAGTGGCATCATTAGCAGGGTGAGGGGCATGCAGACTACACTGGTTGACATTGTCAGAGGGGGTGACACCAAAATGACTGACTATAAAAATATCCCTGTAGTTAGTTATAACAACAAAAACATTTTTCGTAAGCCCAGCTTACATGTATCAATAAAAACTCTATGCTAATTTACTTTTTAAACCTTCTAATGTACTCTCGTCAGACCTGTCATTATTATCGAATTACAATGACACTTTGAATTACGCAGTTTTGTCCGCATGTGCTACAAGCACATGCTGTTGTTTTTGTTGTTGCCAGTATTTTTACAGTCGCTGACTGTTTCAGATTTTCTGGTGTTTTAGCTACAATATTGTTGGTAATTAATATTTGTGAACTTATATCAATAACTTTTTTGAGAATGAAGTAGTAATTAAAGGAAAAGAATGAGTGATATAAGGGAATTACGATTTACAAGTAATGTTAGTACAAAAAACATTACTAAGGATTCTGTATGGTCTAGTATGGGAGGAGGATGGGGGAGGGATGACACCATAAGTTACTGCCCTGGGTGACACCAACTGTAGTGATGCCACTGACTTGCTCTTTGTGTCTCACTTTTCTTTAGTCAATAAATGTTGACTGAAATAGAAGATGTCTGATGTAGACACTATGTTTCCAGTATTCATCAGTTTAATATACTTTCAAAGTACAAAATTGGGAGAGGCCAATTGATACTGAAAAAGCCAATTCCTTTCAGTCTATGAATAAAACAAATCCAGTTTGTGGGAATTGTTTTTGTCAGATTGCCTCAGAAATTCATAATGAACAAAAAAGTATTTATGTAGCCGATGATCACTAATATATATACTTGGTTGGATAAAAAAAAAATGTTTGTTTGTTTTTTTTAATTTAGTAATTAGAATGTTATTGTCTGTGATTAAAAGTTTCAATTTTTAAATAACTTTAGGAATTCTTTTGAGATTCTTTTTATGAACTGATTTATATTATGTATAACTGCATTTAATGTATGAATGCAAGAATTTCTCATTTATTTTCCATTAAGAAGTTTCATGAATATAACTGCTTTTAAGATATAGTAAGATTCTTCAAATTAATAGTTGGAGATGACTACCTAATCCTAAATATTTCCTCACTTTTCCCCTTTGCATATCATCGTAAACAGTAAAGGAAATAGTAGATCTCATTAGCTCTTTGGACAATGGATGGGGACAATCAACAGCCAATAACAGTCTAAAAATATTTACTTATAAAAAATATCATTTAACTGTAGAAGCTTCTAGTGTCTTGTTTTTGTTCTGATAAAAAGAAGAAAATCAGGTTGGGGGCCTTGGCACAAAATACGTATATAGCTGATCTACAAGCTTAAGAACTAATGTTGAAAATTCTAGTTTGTGTTAATATTAACTTGCTCAAAAGCTGGAAGCTACCTTTTAAAATTTATTCATTTTTAATAGTAAATACAAACAAAAGTTGTAACCATAAAGTAAAGCATATTTCCAAGGATTTATATACTGTAAAAGCTGTGCTTATCAAACTATTCACTTAAGAAGCTATATATCTAGTCCAATGAAGACACTATTATTTTAATTCATTGAGCTTTTTTTCAGATATCATGTTATTATTATCATTTTTTAAATTTCCTCAGTGGTATCAAGTCTTTGTGCATTAATACTGTAAAGTCTGAAGTCTATAGAAGCCAAGTCTGTCAAATAAATGAGTAATTGTGGTTTACAAAAAAAAAAAGAGCTTTGACTCTGAACAATGAGACTAAGTTTCTTATATGGCTCATAAACTAACTTACAAGAAAATTCCAAGATAGAAATTTCAAAATGACATAAATTTTACACCTTGTATACAAAACAATCAGAATGGAATTTAATCATTGTTTATAGTTTAACTCAGCCATAACTTAACAACCAACATAAAGTTGTGAATTAAAACAATAAAACAGGAAGCTCAAGTTCCAAAACCCCTGAACAAAACTATTAATGCACTTCTGATGAACAAAATTTGAATTAAATTATTTATATATCTGTTTCTATTTACTCTTTCAAACCTTTTTCTCTACTAATATATTTAGTAGAAAATATATTTCTTTCACTGGGAAAATTGTAAGGCCTAGATAAACATTAAAACAAATGCTATAATTAGTATATAGGAGCCTAATAACAGGATCTCAATTAGCATAAAAGACAATTTTCACTAATGATCTAATAATGACATATGGTTTTTGCTCAGCTACTAACCTAAAGTTTGGCAGTTCGAACATACCCAATGGCACCATAAAATTACAGCTTCTGTAAAATTATAGTCAAGAAAACCCTATGGAACAATTCTTCTCTGTAATACATTGGGTCATCATAAGTTGGAATTGACTCTACAGCAATGGGTTTGGGTTTTGCTTTTTTTATTAACTAAACTGATACTGAAACAAAAATGCACTTGAATAAGCATTTTAAACATTTAAAACAAAGTAAATTGGCTACATTGAAAAAAATTAAATTATGTAACACCCCACTGCTTATACCATTTCTCATTACGTTGTCTTATATCAATAACCAAGACTTTGGTTATCTGGGAAAAGCATGAGCGATTGCCCAATTGCCAGCCGAAGACATTGGTGACATATTTCAGAGAGAGAGAGAGAGAGAAAAAGCTTTGCTAAGGATTTTATCTACTGCTAAAAATACCCTGGCATCATGCTTCACAATATATTAAAAAAAAGGAACACATTATAAACTAGCACAATCAACAATGGTGAAGAAACTATGAGAAAAACAAAAATATCTTCTTTGTATACGTGACCTCATTTTTAAAAATCATATTTATTATAAAATTAATAAGCAAGATGGACGTTTCAAAGGGAACTTTAGCCTTTTCTATGATGTTTTCATTTTAATGAGGTGTATATATACATACGTGGAGCCCTGGTAGTGAAGTGGTTAAGAGCTTGGCTGCTAACCAAAAGTTTGGCCGTTTGAATTCACCAGCCGCTTCTTGGAAGCCCTATGGGGCAGTTCTACTCTGTCCTATAGAGTTGCTATGAGTCAGAATTGACTCAACAGCACACAACAACAATTTGTATGAATATCTCAAGTTACATGTATTCTTAAAACTGAAAATTCTGAAAGTAAAAATAATAAAATAAATGTATTTAAATCCTCAAAATTTTTGTTTTAACTTACCTCCTGGGATTCTTTGAAAAACTTTGCTCAAAGTATCTCCAGTTATTATGTTGTAACTTATCATAGCTAAAAGAAAAAAATTAAAATAATACAGTCACAAACAATCTATTACATATTTCCTGAATATTCTGAAAAGTAATCAGTTATCACTTCCCAAATATTGGCATAATCCTACTACCTTCAAATACAAATTGTGATTACCAATATGCCCAACTTTAAAAATAACTAGACAACAGATTTAAGGAAGAGTATTACCATATTTTTCACAAACAATGTGCCCATACATATAATGCACATAATGTACCTAGGAAAATAATGCACAAAGGGGTTGCACAGTTGGCAAAAAAAGGTATAACACATGCGTTATTTGTGTAAAAATGTGGTAATTTGTATTACAGAAAGATTTTTCTTTATAAATTGATTCATCCCAGAGTACCTTTAAGTAAGGAGTTTTGGTTGTCACTTAAAATGTTATTTATTTTGTTACTAAAGTTCAGTTTTCAAACACTTTTTCAGGAATATATGTACTGCTTTAAGTAAGGAATAATAATAGAAAATTATGAAGCACCGAAATAGTCCCTCGATTGAAAAAGTAAGACTTTTGGGGAAATATATTCTTAGCCTTCTGTGGAGACATAAAGATCAAGGGGTTTGAACAATAGCTCCTGTGGTACTTACTGATTTTTAAGACAAAGTCAACTTGGGTATTGGTGAATGTTTTAACATTTTACTTATTTAAGAAGTTCTAGGAGCCATGGTGGCGCAGTGGGTAAGAGCTTGACTGCTAACCAAAAAGGTCAGCAGTTCAAATCCACCAGTCGCTCCTCTGAAACCCTATGAGGCAGTTCTACTCTGTCCTATACGGTTGCTATGAGTCGGAATCGACTCAACGGCACATAACAACTTAACAACAATAACAGGTGACATTTTAACCATTATAGTGCAAACTTTAAACAGCATGTTGATTTTGCACATGGTTTCCACAAATCCTTAGGTTTTCAAAAAATTCAGCCTTAGAAGAAATCTATTATTTCTCTCATTCACTTTTAATCATTCTATTTTTCACCAGACTAGGGAAGCACAAACATTAACCCAATGAAAATCATCCTCATTTTATTTAAATAAAAGATTCAGAAAACAAACCAAAAGGATCAGAAAATAATGGAGAAAATGGCTAATGAAGTAAACAATTTGAAAAATATTTCAATTGTTAATATTCTTTAATGACTAATGACAATTAAAATTATTTTATTCATAAATGGCTGTATATTTATGCAAATAATTGCAATATTCACCTTTACAACCATCTTACCTATAAAAGGATACAAAAACTGTAGAACAGAGAGGAGAAGGTAGCCAGGAAAGCCAAAGGTTTTATTGACCAACGACTGGTAAGTGTCTGTTCCAGAGAGGGCCCCTCCTTTTATCAGTAAAACAAGGGAAAAGTCTGTGGTAAAAATAACAAATAAAAAAAATGTCGGATTACATTTAATGCAAAGGTGTTTCATGTTTTGACTTACTTAACATTGAGAAAAAGGTAAATTTTAAAGAAGATTGTAATACAATGCTATGGTATTATGACAAGTATTCTTTCTTTTCATGGAGCATTATCTTTAATGAAGCAGTACTGTTTCCAGTTACATATTTTTCTATTTAGGTGAAAAGATACTTAACATATTTGTGCAATGAACTGGACAGAAGGAGGTACACAGACTAAGAGTCAAAGAGCCAGTGTTCCATTTTTCTTTACTAACCTAACCAACAAACTATCATCAGGATGTAGCTCAATTTTTTAAGCAACAGACTGTACATAATCATATATTTCATAGGTATTCAATGTGTGAAGACCAAGAATGAAAAATGCATATCACATACTAGTTTTATGAATTTACAATAAAATATAATTAGGAGAATCAGAACATTTATTTTATAACAAAGTAAAACTAGTAATTACTTTATAGTTATTGTGGTTAAGAAAGCACTGTTTTTGAAATTTATATTTCAGTACCTATTAAAGAGATTAATTTGAAGATACAAATGCATAGACATTTTATAATTATAATTTAATGTCTCTCTGTTTTTTCATTTCACTAAATGTTTTTTGAATACCCAGTGAAAGGCACTGCAGTTGTATTGGATAGACTACTGTGTACAAGGAATGTTTCGTACTCTCCTTCTCCCTTAAGTTTTCATCATAGGTGATTTCCTTTTAATCTTTAAATAATTTGGAGATGCATTAAAGTACAGAGAAGAAAATACAAATCATTGCAATATGATTTCCACCTTGATTCACTTCCACATCAATGAAACTTCTTTCAACAAGTTCATCAATGATCTCCAAGTCAGTAAGTACAATTGACACCTCATAAACTTTACTCATATTTTCTCTTTCAGCAGTATATTTTGGTGTTTATCATTCCCCTTTCTCAACCGTCCTCCCTTGTTTTCTGTAAACAACACTTTCTCTTGGTTTTCCTCCTACCTCTGCAGCCATTTATACTCAATTTCTCACTAGTTTCTTCCGCTCTACCCAAACCCTGAATTCTTGGGATTTTTTCTCATTCTTTAAGATGCCCCACTTTGATCTCACCTATACCCATCAAATATTAGTAACCCCCAGATCGGTATCTCCAGACCAGACCACTTATAAACTACAGACATCTATATTTATCTGCCTAATAAACATTTTACCTTGAACATCTCATAGGCATCTCAATCTTAAAATGTCCAAATTCTAATTTCTGTTTTTGCTCTGGAACCTGCTTTTCCATCCACTTTCCTCCAATCTATGAATCGTACCAACAGAATCGTGAGAACTGCCCTAGAATTTTTGGTTATCCATTACCACCTATATTTCTTTGGTACACTAACTACTGTACCATAAATATTATCCAATTATATCCCCTTGTTTCTAATCTCTACCTTGCTTTATTCTAGGGCTTAGGCCTTTATCATTTCTGTCTGGATTGCAGCAATAAACTCATGGTAGTTCTCTCATTCACAAATCTGGCCCTCAAACAAACCTTTTTTTTTTTTAATATTTTCTCCCAAAAAATACGTTCTCGACATTCCCCCTCAACCTGATGGATGTGATTACATCATAAATCTGATTATGTATCTCTTCTGCTTAAAATCCTCAAGAGGATCCTCTAATGTTTTTAGATAATAATCAACTCCTTTCATGAGGCAGAAAAGTTATTTATTAGCTGTGTGAAGGTGAGTGAAGAATTTGACTTTTCTGAATCTGATCTGTAAAGTAAGGGCAATACGCCAACCTGGAAGGGTAGTGTGAGGATTATGGTGTTTAAATGTCTACCACAATACCTGGCATATTATAGGGGCTCAATGAATCAGAGCTTGCACTATTTTGACTTATTTTTGAGAAGCTGCCTGTTGTGATGGAAAAAGCATTGTGTTTAGAGCCAGATAAATATGATAATAATAATGATAACAACTACAAAAACACCAGCTAATACTTTCATAATACTTTCTGTGTGCTACCCTTTTTGGAAAATGCTTTACATATATTAATTCCTTTAATCTACACAACAGCTGTAGGTAGGTGCTATTATTATACGCATTTAATAGATCAGAAAAACGAGGCACAGAAGGTTAAGTAACTTTCTCAAGTCCACACATCTAGTACAGAGTCAGATTATAAATCCTAGTAGTCTGGCCCCAGAATCCAAGCACTTAAACATAATCTCAAATCTGTTGCTAGTAACTGTGTGATCTTTGGAAAATCACTTTAACCTATAAAAGGCTCAACTTCCTTCTCCATAAAAGTAGAACATTACTACCTGTCTCATGGAATCAAAAGGATTAAATATAGTGGCTGCTTTATGGTCACTACCTAGTCAACCCTCAGGAAACTGTAATGATTTCCATTACATGAGAGTCTTCACATCTGTCTCTGCAAATCTAACTTCATCTCTCTCCATTTACCAATATCAACCCTACGTTTTTGCCAGACTGAATCACTTACACATTTCCCTTTTGCATTTCCAGAGTTCTCTCTGCTAAGAGTACCCTTCCATTTTCTTTGCTAACTCATATTTTTTTCATAAACACTCGGTGGAGCTGTCTTCACCTCCTCAGAACATACTTGCCCTTTGAAGCTGGGTTAAATGCTTATGTCCCTATCATCATCCACATATTTTTATTATGATAGTCTTCATGATGTATTATAATTATTTGTTGTGTGTGTGTGTGTGTTTATTTTCCTGCCTGACATATACTTTGTAAGCTTCATAAAGGCAAGGATAATGTTCTTCATTATATTATCAGAGTTTCAGTGACTGGCACATTAGTAATCAATAAATGTTTGTTGAATGAATCTAGGATCAATATAGCAGGACTGCTAAAGGCCTACATATCTATTTCTAATTTGGAGTGATTAAATTATCAAATAAATAGATTTTTAAATATTTTGCAAACACAAATGAAGGAGCAATTAATTCTACTTCTTTTAGTTGAAATTAAGAAAAGCTACATAGAAGAACTGAGCAATGCCTTAAAGGATGAACAGAATATCTCACTAGGTAGAGAAGAAAAGGCAGGGGGACAATCAATGGGAAGGCAGCATGAACACATATTCTAGATGTGGGAAACAGAGTAGTGTAGAATGGCTAACACATAACGTCCACACATGATATAGCGTTGGTGGTAGGTGAAAGAGAGGTAAGTGAGACAGAAAGGCTGGAGATGAGATTAAGAATGCAGACCGTGGCCAAACTATGAAGAGATTTGAATGCAGTAATTTTTTTCTGTTGTCATAGAGTCTTAGAATATTTTGACTGGCAAAGTAACAGATGATCAGAGCGAGGTTTTCTAAAGGTAACTCTTGTAGCAACATGGAGGACTGATCAGAAAGTGGAGACATGCTAGAGGCAGGAAAACTGAACAGCAATTTATTGGTCAAGGAAGAGAATCAGAGAGGAGGCAACCGATTTCTTAGATGTTTTGAAGTTGTTGTGATTAATTGTATGTTTAGGATGAAAATGTTGAGAATTTTTTGGAAATGCAAAACGTACTGCTTAGAGGCAGGGCCAAGATGGCAGAATAGTCAGATGCTTCCTGTGGTCACTCTTACAACAGAGACCCAAAAATACCAGTGAATCAATTATATACGACAATCTAGGAAGTCAGAATTAGTGAGACTGAAGATAAAGCACTTGACACCAATGTATTTGAGGAAAAATCAGATAGAAGAGTTTAAAAAATGAAGACACCCTAAGAATTGTGTGGGACACTAATAACCTATCAGTGATTGGAGTACATGAACAGGGAGGAGTAACAGAAAATACAGAGAGAATTGTCAAAGATTTGTTGGCAGAAAACTTCCCTGATATCGTGAAAGACAAGAAGATATCTATCCAAGAAGTTCATTGAATCCTACACAGGGTAGATCCCCCCAAAAAGTCACCAAGACATATTATAATCAAACTTGCCAATAACAAAAATAAAGAGACAATTTTAAGAGCAGCTAGGGAGAAATGAAAAGTCATCAACACTGGAGTGTCAATAAGACTAAACTCTGACTACTCAGCAGAAACCATGCAGGCAAGAAGCCAATGGAATGACATATATAAAGCCTTGAAGTAAAAAAAAAAAAAATTGCCAGCCAAGAACCATATATTCAGCAAAACTGTCTCCCAAATATGAAGACAAAATTTGGACATTTCCAGATAAACAGAAGTTAAGGGAAGTTTGTAAAAACCAAACCAAAATTACAAGAAACATTAAAGGGAGTCCTTTGGCTAGAGAACCAACAATACCAGAAACAACCCACGACTAGAACATGGGACAGAACAACCAGATATCAACCTAGAGAAGGAAGTCACAAAAATAAATCAAAACTAATACAATGAAAATCGGAAAACAGAGACATCAGTACGTAAAGATGACGTTAAAACAAAAAAGAGGGGCTAAATAATGTAGTCATAGAACTTTCATATGGAGAGGAAGTTAAGGTGATATCAAAAATAAAAGATTAGTTTAAACTTAGAAAAATAGAGGTAAATTTTAAGGTAACCACATAGGAAACCAAAAAATCTACACATCAAAATAAAAAAGACGAAAAACATGAAGACTCAGCAAATACAAAATCAATGATAATGAAAAGAAAATACATAAAGAAAAACTACTCAGCAGAGAAAATTAGGTGGAACAAAGAAACTGCCAACAACACATAAAAAATACACCAAAATGACAGCACTAAACACATACTAATAATTACACTGAATGCAAATGGACTAAAAGCACCAATAAAGAGACAGACAGTGGCAGAACGGATAAAAAAACAGGATCCATCTATATGCTGCCTATAAGAGACACACCTTAGACTCAAAGGCACAAACAAACTAAAACTCAAAGGATGGAGAAAAAATATATCAAGCAAACAACAATCAAAAAAGAGCAGGAGTGGCAATATTAATCTCTGGCAAA